TAACTTTTAGAACAAATGTTACATCTATATCTATTAACTGTCCCAGTGCAATGCCTAGTTTAATAGTTAGTATAGGTCTAAGTATGTCTACAATATAGGCTACAATTTGTATGATGATGGACCTAGGGTCTAGAAATAAAGTTATAACTGCAATTAGACCTAAAGTCTAGTACATTAGTTGGTGTAAGACATGACTTACAATCACCCAATACAATTACAAACCACTACATTAGGCCTATAATGTTTACTAGATCTAGATCTAGGCCTTGCCTGTTGCATATACTGCCAATCTTGCACACCAGTTAATATGTTACATCAATCTCATATTTTCTTTTTGTTGAACATACACTTACTTGTACGTTGTACTCAAGTACTTCTATTTGATCTACAAATGAATGATGGAATAGTGTAATTTACTTCTGTAGTCAATTCGGTCTCACTGTATTTCAGTGGGTGGCTTTTAAAAGTCAAGACTGCAAGCGTAATATACACAAATAATGTAACATTGTGTCATATTTACTTAGCGTGGGGCAGTTGCGCTATATCCTAGGGGAGGACATAATTATTAATTAATAGGCATTATAGGCCAGAGGAAATTTTGCACCCATTCACACCTGCGCCATGGGGCGACTGCCCCCTTGCCCCCTTCTAGCTACGCCACAGTTTGTAGGATTTTTACTATTTTGGAAGATGTGTAAAAGTGGGGTGTTTTGTTGCTCCAGACTTCAGGATGCATTGATTAGTTCCCATACTGAAATCCACATGAATCTCAGGTCCAATACTCAAGTAAGTTCCTAAGAAGTATAGAGCTTGTAGGATCTTTACTATTTTGGAAGGTGTGTAAAAGTGGAGTATTTTTTGGGGTTAAAAGGCATGGATAATTGCAGACAGTCAATCGTAAAACAGTGTATAACTGTGAATAACAAGAAGTGGATATGCTCTTTCCATTCCAGAAGTTTTACAGTTTTTCTGGAATTTCCCCCCCCCCCCCAAATGTCTGGTTGATTAGTGCATCGGGTGTTAAAGTCGTTGATTCATATGATCACAGTGAACATGATATACTAAAAGTGTCAATACTGATTTTTAATCACCACAGTATTTACTTAACTTCATGAAGGCAAAAATAACAGTGTGGCTTGTAAATAACTATTTTATAATAATCACACACTAAATACTACTTTCACTGTGTTTAAATTCATACAACAAAGTAAAACAGATGACTAAATGAGAAAGAATCATTTATGGTCCAACACTTACAATTAAACTTAATTTACTTACCTGTGGAGCTTGTATTGATATACCAGAAATGGAAGTTTCAAAAATGTGCTCAAAGTGTCCATCATACCTACTAACATCAGTGGAAGTGCCTAAGGAATTAAAAACAAATGCTTACTGTAAACCATGAAATGTGTTTTAATGTACTATAATAATACATTGATATATGCCTACATCACCTGACCTACCTGTACAATATTTACACAACATATGTTTAGCTACAACATTAATTAAAGCACTCACAAACTGTTTAAATGCATCATGATAGTAAAAAGCAAGTAAGATAAAAACAAACTGTTTGATGAATCATATTTGAAACATCCAACGAAACTAGCTTTTAACAAGTGAACCTATCTTTCTTCAGGGGTAAATGTTTCATATTGTAACGCCTCCGTTCGTTAGTTAATTTTCCGTAAATTCGTTCCACCGAAACTTTAGCGACACAAGTCCTTTCTTAAATAAAACTGGTTTATTCTTTCCGAATACAACTTTATGATACACTTAATTTCAACAGTCGCTCTATAACAAATGCTATAATTCTCAATGAACGTCTCACGTGCTTGACTCAACTGTCAATTATTCATTACCTCCCCATCGCTTCGTGGCCGGTCTTATATATACAAGACTACACTATATCTAGAAGGATCACGAGATTTAAGGAAAGGACGTGAATGTTCGAGAACGACGTGGCGTGATACTAGTCACGTGACCTCGATGTCGTAACACTGCCCCTTCCTTAGTATTGTTCATCCCGAACAATAGCCACTTACATTAAACCAATAACAAGTATCACTAACTTAATTAAATGTACAGAATTACAAACACAAAATTACAATTCAACAAAGTCTCTTAACTTTACGGGACATATCTTCTTCCATACTGGTCTCCGTCTCGTTGGCTTCTGCTTCACGTGGGGTTCATCTGCTTCATCAGGAAATGTCCTACCGTCAGGAACAGTCACATCAGTGGTAGTAACTTCATCAAGAGCTTCACCGTTTCCCTTCCCAAAACTGAGTAGAGTTTCTTCTTCAACAGTGGCTTTTTCAGGTGACACTTCTTCAGCAGCGTCATTTGTTCCTTTGTTCACTTCATCCCAACTGAAATGTCCTGGACGGTGATAACGCCAAAGCCTGTTGGCATGCACCACTTTTGGCTTACTTCGCTGACCACATTTTATCCGGAAAGTCACGTCTGAGAGCCACTATGTCATATGGGCCTTCCCATGGAGAAGACAACTTAGGAGACTTCCCTTTGGTCTTCCTGGGATTATACAACCACACCTTGTGTCCGCTATCTTATGATAAGAGATCTACTGAAGTCAGCTTTGAACCATTCATCGAATCAGCAGACGTTTTCAAGTTTGAACGCACTTGAGGATGGATGATATTCACCATTTCCAATAACACTTTCAAGATGGTGAGCGTCCTGTTAACAGATCCACTGGCAACCGAAGTAACCGACCAAACATCAACTTTACTGGATTGTATCCAGTGGTTTCATACTCTGCTGCCCTATAGGCCATCAACAGTGGAGGGAGTAAGACATCCCAGTCATCTTGGCAGCTATT